TCAGCATAGTCCCTCTCGTCCCAAGTGGCTTTGTCCCCACAATTTAACTGATTCCAAACCTAAGCTAAACAATATACTTTATGTTCGGTTACCCTTGTGCTTTGTGTTTTGTGTCATGACCATCTCTACGTTTGTTTGCGTATGCATATGCATGCATGCATCAATAAGGTCAAGTTTATGTACTCTCTAGTCTTTAAAATAAAAGCTATTGTAACTTCTGTTTCCAGGTCAATTGCATGTATAATGCTATAATGAAATGTAACAAATAATTAATTTCCCTTTATTTCTATATAATTATCATTATCGTCGAATAATAATATCTTTAAAGATAATTAGAAATTTGTTATTAGTTGCATGAGAACATATATATAATTTTCCTTTTTTTTTTTTTTTTGGGCATCGAGTATCATATTTAAGTAGAAATATTTTTTTTTCTGGCAACTTCATCAAACCGACGTTAACTAGAAAGAAAAAAAAATTCATAATAAATATCCAGAGTTCTTAGACCAAAGAAATGTCTCTTAACTAAGAGACTTGTCTTAAGAGCCATTTTTTTTGTTTTTTTTTTTAGTTTAAGAGCCACTAAAAACTCACCAATAATGGTGGTCTAATTAAGGATTTAGCGGCCGACATCTATCTTCCATTGCTATTTTGCGGAGAAAAGCGAGTTGAGGCAAATCATAGAAGAGAATGGGAAGTTCACAATTGTGGCTTTGGAAGATATTATTTACCCAAACGCGGAGAGCTTCCTTTAGACCCCAAGTTGCTGGTTGTTTCCCATTAGGGCTGCCTTTTGGATAATACTTCTCTACATATTTTGGAGCTGAAGCTATTGATATATAAAGCCTTAACTCTCGTTGACGCCAAGGCCAACCAAGAGTTTTCTCGACTCCAGAACGCCAAACTCGGAATGCAGTACATGATCGTGCTTCGCAAGAACTAAGATATATGCATGAAAGTAAAAGGAAGAAATCGTGCGCGTGAGATCCACTCGCGGCGATTTCTTTCTCCCTTCTCTTTCTTCTTCTGAGCACAACTTCTTGCTTTTCCGATGGGTCCTCCGTCGATTCCGGCGACGATGAAGACTCTATGGCTCATGGTTCTTCAACTACGCAATCTGCTGCATCTTCTAAGCTTCACAAACGAATCAAAATCAAGGGAGAAGCGAAGAGGGATAGCTTCGGCGAGACACCGTCGATGACTCCACCGGGGGTGTAGCGCCGCAGAATGGAAGAGGAAGTTTTCACGGCGAAGCATGAGAGAGAAGACGGTTAGGTCTGGAACCGGAGATCCTGGAGGCTTCATTAGGCCGCCGCTTGATGGGGGAGGTTGACTCCGGTCGGGTGGAGCTAAGCCACTGTTGACGGTTCCTAGATCTACTCCCTACCGCCTTTCAATCTCACGTCGGAGCTTGAAGCTTTCTCGACACCAACAGCTCGGTTTCTTCCTCTTCCTCAAAGTTTTTCTACGGTGGCGGAGAGGCAAACGGATCTTGGATCACCTCCTCCGTTCGATCCGCGTCGTCCAGGTACACCGGAGGTCCGGTCGGTGTGCATCCGCAGTTGTGGATGGCGGCTGCGACGCGTTTTGCGTTGTAGATTAGGGTTTCTGTGGGTACCGGTTAATTTTGGTACTCCGAAACCGGATCGGTTTTGTTTTAGTTTGGTTTAGTTTGGTTAGATGTCAGATTGGGTCCTATGGGGTTATTGTATGGGCGTATTCCGGAAATATGTAAGCCCATTGGGCATTATTATTTAAATTGCAAGCCTTTTTCAAAAAAAAAAAAAAAGAAAGAACTAAGATATATAATGTGAATCTTTGTTTCATCCATTGTTGTTTCTCTTTTTTCTTTTGGTGCTTTGTTGTCTTCTTCTTGTTGTCGTAGCGTCTTTGTATTCTCCCCAATCCCACACAGAAGAACAAATTGTATAATGTTATTTTTTTTTTGAACCCCAACAAATTATAACGTTTAAACTGCTTAATGAATTCGATCGGGTGTGATGATTTTTTTTTTCTCTTATTTATTTTTGTATTAAACCCTAGCTAAGATACTTTGTGCCATCACCAGATTCTCAAATTCAGGGGAAAATGAATAAATTTTTAAAACTGGTCTTTTTCCTAAATTTTCACATCTAGATCCCTAGATCTACTTGATGGCAACAACAAAAAAAAACATAGATCTACTGTTAAATGATACATGATGATAACATGATGATGAGCTTGATCTGATCCTTCAGATATCTTAAACCCTAGTGTTTAACATGCACATCGTCCCTAATTTATGCAAAATCTTTCGAAGGTTTGAGATGCACTAGCTAATATATGATTTTGTTTGTAAGGCACAGACGAATCATTTGACCATTCATGTCTTATAGCATGCATCTAATTCAATCATCCCCCATGATTGGTTTATACTTCTCTTCTAATACCTTCTTCATCCTCTTATATGTTGGCACATCCCTCTGCTAGAGAACAAGTTTTTTTTTATACATTGAATCGTGTAACAACAAACTTCAGATCAATTTGACATTAAATCTAACATTTATTCTACCATGCATCAATTTTAGACTTTGAAAGCTCATGTAAACCCCACCAACCATTAGTACAATATTACAAGTCAAGTCCCAACAAGTGTTCCTTTTTGGACTCCTTTCCCAAAAACAATATACTAATGAAAGTTAATTAGTGTTTTTATGTCGTTTTTCTCTTCTTTTTATAGACACTCATTTACTTAATACCCCTATAATAAATTGATAATCATTTGTAACAGGATTAGATTATAATATTATCACAATTATCTATGAAGCAGAAAAAAAAACATATATACCTGAATCAATTATGAATTTACCATTTTTGGGACCAAGTTTCTGATTTTGCCATTTTTGATAAAATCTTATGGATTTGCCATTTTTAAGTTAGAAAAATGTGATTAAACACTCATTTTACTCGTTATGTTTGGATTTAGTCGATGTTAATTGTCTTTATGATTTTGTATTTATTATAAGTACGTTTTTAGCAAAAATAAAAATGAACACTTTTAAAACTTCAAAATGGCAAATCCATAAGATTTTAGCTAAATGGCATATTCGTAAAGTTTGCCCTAAAAATGACAAAATCCGTAAGAATCCGTATACATATACGTTTCTTGCGAAACACAATGAAATATTAATGAGAATTTTTGAGAAATATTAATTCTATTTTAAACATTCCAAATGCGAAGAAGTTCTTTCTATGCTTTGTTCTAGGATATATGACTTCGAAGATTATTCTCATAGCTCTGCTCCTTACAAGGCCTTGAAAGAAACGACAAAGGCATTGGTGCTAGTGGACACATTCTGTCAACACAAAAGACATCAAATTATAATACTTACCACAACCCAATTCCAATATTACTGTAAACCCATATAGCATGGCTACAACAAGTTACTATAAATGCGTAAATATATGTCATGAGTTTGTCACAAATATCAATCGATATTGCCTATGAGCACTTCGTCACTACACGATGCACGTGGCTATATATACATTCCAAAGGTTGGGAACAGAAGCTTCTTGATATATATAACAATACACGTTACCAATATAAAGCAGACACAAATTGTCCTGATTAAAGGTGGCTAACTAGTAAAAGCATGTGGACACTGCATTTCAAACCATAGGTCCTACTACGTCAAATTATTCTAAATTGGCGTTTTGGTATTTTATTAATTATATTATACTTCTTTACCTTAATCTACTAGATGATATCTCACTCTATATGCGATGATATCAAAAAAATAAAAATAAACATAGATTTCATTGATAAAAACATAGATTTCATTATAACATGTAAGAAGATTATTATTACATGTTAATTAGCTATTACATTGTTCATTATACTGTTGAAAACCTTTAATATACCAAAAAAAAATATAAATGTTTATTCCAAAAAATAGATTTTAATTATGTTTCTTGAAGCAAATGATTGACTAAACATATATTTTTAAAAGACCTCCTTATCTTTATTTTTAATCTTATCTACAAAAACTGATGTTATGAAGATTTTATTAAAATCTTGAAACGCATTCTAATGATGTTAATAAACTTTGATGTTTGGAATTTGATTTAGTAGGTGAAATGGTTGTTTGGCAACATGTATAGTAGAAATTTACTATTTAGTAAATAAATTTCGTCTACCAAAATACCTTTACCCTATTTTTCAAACGATTAGATTTCTTAAGATTCTCTCCAATGACATTGTATAATTAGATCAAATTTTACTTTCAAGATCTTCCTTTTAGTATATATGAATAAAAATATTGAAGTGGTAATTTTTGAAATTAGAAGCAAAACTAGAGTTGTCCTCCATGTGAGACTATATAAAATATTAAATTAAATACATGCATCTAGATTTGTTAATATTTAGAAACTTCCAATGAATTTATGAGAAATATTAAATTAAATACATGCATCTAGATCTAATCTTCATTTTATTTATTTAATCGTTCATCTCTAAAAAAAAAATTAACATTCGGTTTTATCTTTTTCTCATCAAAATTAATATTTACCTTTCATTCTTTTTTTGCAAAAAGACAAGATATAGATTAAGATTAGTTTTGTTTAAAATGACAACTAATGTTACTACATGTAAATGACATAAGTAGTAAAGACATAAAGAAGACGAACGACCAAAATAAAAAAAGAGTCCACCATAGACAAACCCATATAAAATTTATTCAAGCTTCAACACATTTTCTTCCTTACACCACCAACTTTGTATATAGTACTCTAAACGTTTTCATATCATTCGTCTAAGGTACCTGATTATTCTATTTAATTTATTCATGCCACTAAAATTCTACTTCAAAATATATATATTTCTAGTAGCATATTCAACAAAATGATTCAAAATCGTCACAGTTCTCAATTCTCACCAACACCAACTAACCAATGCAAATGTAGTATATAAACAAGCATTGAGATGTATCACAGTTCTCACCACCAACTAAAGTATCAAACAAGTAAATAGAAAAGTGTGAAGAAGAAAGATAATGTCTCCTACTCCAGAATGGGTCATGGTTGGAGGAGAAGGTTCTGAGAGTTACAAGAAGCATTCCTCATATCAGGTTTATATATAGTTTAAGTGATTCTTGAATTCCAAGCTCTAGATTCTTAAGATGTGTTTCAACAGTCTTTTCTTTGATACGGCTTTTTATAGAGAGCGTTGGTGGAAGCAGCAAATGAAAAGATAAGCGAGGCGATCTCAGCGAACCTTATTCTTGATTTGGTTTCGAATTGGGTTTGTGTAGCGGATTTTGGCTGTGCGAGTGGACCTAACACTTTTGTGGCAGTCCAAAGCGTTATAGATGCTGTGGAAAACAAATACCGTAGAGAAACCGGACAAAACCCCGGGGATAACATCGAGTTCCAAGTCCTCTTCAATGACTTAACCACTAACGATTTCAACACTCTCTTCAAGACACTTCCCTCGGAAAGGAGGTATTATAGCGCGGGTGTTCCTGGTTCTTTCTTCGACCGTGTTCTTCCTAAGCAAAGTTTTCACATAGGAGTCATGAATTACGCTTTTCAATTCATGTCGAAAATCCCCAAAGGGATCTTGGACCGCGACTCCACCATATGGAACAAAGATATACATTGCACCGGATTCAACAACAAGGTGAAGCAAGCATATCTTGATCAATACTCTGTCGACTCCAAAGCTATATTGGATGCACGAGCTGAAGAGCTCGTACCCGGGGGATTAATGTTGCTTTTAGGATCATGTCTAAAAGACGGTACCAAGATGTCAGAAACCTATAGAGGAATTGTCCTAGATTTAATCGGAGCTTCTCTAAATGATCTTGCTCATCAGGTATATTTTAACTTAACAAACTATTTACAATCACATAATTACTAACATTATCTTCTTTTTTTGTTTTTGTTTTTAAGGGTGTCATCGAGCAAGACAAAGTAGACTCGTTCAATATCACACTCTACATTGCAGAGGAAAGCGAGTTGAGACAAATCATAGAGGAGAATGGGAAGTTCACACTTGAGGGTTTTGAGGATATACTTCAGCCAAACAAAGAGTCATCAGAACCAAAGATCTTTGCTGCCTCAGCTAAAGCTGCCTTAGGTGGTATCTTAACCGCACATTTTGGAGAGGAAGGCATGATAAAAGCCTTTGAGCTCGTCGAGGCCAAGGCTCACCAAAACTTTACTCGTATCGAGAATGCTAAATCTGGAATGCAGTACCTCATTGTACTTCGCAAGAACTGAGTGATGATACAAATACATTGTGAATCTTTGTTACTTTCTTCTAGTGCGATGTCTTCATCTTCTAGTTGTTGTGTGTATGTCTTATATATATATTTAGATTTTTAAAAAACGAAGAAAACCTAAGAAACTAACAAAACAATAAACTGAATTCAATTTAAACATACACAGTTGGTATATTATGAAGACTCTAAATCCCTTGCTAATGTATTTTAGAATTTTACGTCATTTAGTAGACTGTGGTTTAAATGTAATTAATCAAAGTTATAATCATATCCGTTTTAAGAAATTAACAAATAGTCATAGTTTTTTAACAAAAAAAAAACAAATAGTCATAGTTGTAATGACAATTGATTGTATTTTCACTTACGTACTCTCAGATCAATTAATCAACTTAAAATTATACTTTTCATTCGACAATTTTTTTTGACCAATTACAATAAACAAAAGAGATTAAGAACTGATATAAACTCTTTCAGACTTCTGAAAATTAGATAATGGCATATTCTCATACTTTTTTCAAAGTTGTTCGGATATGATAAACTATGCCTTGGGTCATTTGCCTCTTTAGTGTTAATTACGATGTTTCCACATATGCTCATTTCTACGTTTGTATTCTTATGTGTGTTTGCATGGTATTTCCTACCAAAGTTTTCCCATTTACGATTTTCTATAAGATTATTTTACCATTTTATTCGTAGAAAAACGGAAAAAATATATATTTTTTACCACTTTTTTTACGATATCTGCCGTAGAAAATCGATCATTTTCTTGAATTTTAATTCCAACCATGTCCAAACAAAACTATAATAACAACTAAATAGTTCGACCAATGGGATTAAATAAAAGATAACCACCAAAACAAGCACTGGTTACATATTAAAGAGCCAAAAAACAAATTTTGTGCTGATGTGAGAGTTTAGATATAGTCAAGCTTTTAGATTCAAAGGTCCAACTATCTCATATTAAAATTTTGAGGTTTTTATAAACCCTCGCTCTCAAGATTTAAATAGAGAAAAAAGCTTCACGATACCCAAAACAACATCGTTTTGATCAGTATAGTTACATAGAATCAAAAATTTAACAATGTCGAATACCAAACACATTTTTGTATTATTTAGTATGAAATGTAAACTTCAGATACTAAATTCAAAATTTTAATAAAATCAGATAGGATTTTGCAAATTAGCCATTTTCCTCTCACAACATTCCGGTTACACCGTCACACTCTGCTTTCGTTTCCTCCCAAAAGGCAAACCCTAAAAATTCCAATCCCTAAACCGTCACATTTTGGCGCCAATTTCCATCATCTTCCTCACCATGGTCTCCGATTCCGGCGGAACCACAATCGCCGGCAACTCAGAAACCCTAAGCCTCGACTCGACAAATCTCTACTCATCGGCAATCTCCTCTATCTCTCCGCAATTCCCCCCACCGAAACCACCGTTCTCATCTCTTTCAATCCCTCAATCAAAACGAATCCCCAAAACTAACTTCATCGTCGATCTCTTTCGCTTCCCACAACACTCCTCCTCCTCCTCCTCCGTGGCTTTCTTCCTCTCACATTTCCACTCCGATCATTACTCCGGTCTCTCCTCTTCTTGGTCTAGAGGAATCATCTTCTGCTCTCACAAAACCGCTCGTCTCGTTGAAGAAGTTCTTCAAGTTCCTTCACAGTTCGTCTTCGCTTTGCCTATGCAACAAACGGTTTTGATCGATGGCTCTGAAGTTGTGTTGATTGACGCGAACCACTGTCCTGGAGCGGTACAGTTTTTGTTTAAAGTCACATTGGAGGAGGATGGTGGATTTGAGAGGTATGTTCATACTGGAGATTTTAGATTCTGTGATGAGATGAGATTTGATTCGTTTCTTAGTGGTTTTGTTGGTTGTGATGGTGTGTTTCTGGATACGACTTATTGTAATCCTAAGTTTGTGTTTCCGACTCAAGAGGAATCTGTTGGTTATGTGGTTAGTGTGGTAGATAAGATTAGTGAGGAGTGTGTGGAGACGAAGAAGAAGGTTTTGTTTCTTGTTGCTACTTATGTTATTGGTAAAGAGAAGATTCTTATTGAGGTTGCTAGGAGATGTAAGAGGAAAATCGTTGTGAATGCCAGGAAGATGTCGATTTTGGGGATTTTGGGGTGTGGAGAGGATGGAATGTTTACAGAGGATGAGAATGAGAGCGATGTTCATGTTGTGGGATGGAATGTGTTGGGTGAGACTTGGCCGTATTTTAGGCCGAATTTTGTGAAGATGAATGAGATTATGGTTGAGAAAGGGTATGATAAAGTTGTAGGTTTTGTGCCTACAGGGTGGACTTATGAAGTGAAGCGGAATAAGTTTGCGGTTAGAATTAAAGATTCGATGGAGATTCATCTTGTACCATATAGTGAGCATTCGAACTATGAAGAACTTAGAGAGTACATAAAGTTCTTGAAACCTAAGAGAGTTATTCCTACAGTTGGAGTTGATATCGAGACTCTTGATAGCAAGGAGGTTAATAAGATGCAGAAACATTTCTCTGGATTGGTAGATGAAATGGCCAACAAAAAAGATTTTTTATTGGGTTTCTATCGCCAATCTTACCAGAAGAATGAGAAAAATGATATAGATGTTGTGTCACACTTGACTGAGGTTTACGAAGGGGGAGATAAAAAAGCATGTGAAGACGGTGGAGATAATGTTCCATCATCTAGAGGATCCTTATTGCATGATACAGCTCAAAATAGTGATTCTTTGGTGACTGAAAGATTGCTGGTAGAAGTACGTGCTTCTTTGCCTGCTTGGGTTACTGAAGAACAGATGTTAGATCTAATTAAGAAGCATGATGGTGATCCTGTGGAAATAGTAAGTAACTTTTATGAATGTGAAGCAGAGCTTTACAAGCAATCTTCTCTCCACGGACCTTCCTTTGAAAATCAGGCTGTTTTGTCTGTGGATGATGTAACCGACTTGCAACCAAATCCTCCTTTGAAGAGCACTTGTCCAGATGTTCAAGCAATTCAAAAAGGTCTTGACTTACCAAGAAAAATGAATTTAACTAAGGGTACCATTTCTCCTGGGAAAAGAGGCAAAAGCTCGGGCAGTAAGTCAAACAAAAAAGCGAAGAAAGATCCAAAATCAAAATCAGTTGGTCCGAGGCAGCCAACCATTTTTAAGTTCTTCAATAAGGTCTTGGATAGTGGATCTAATTCTGTTGGTGTTGGTTCAGAGACCGAACACTGCAATACAGATAAAAAGATGGCCCAAAATGATGCTACAGAAGCATACAAAGAAGTGACAGATCAATTTATTGATATTGTCAATGGCTCTGAAGCTTTAAGAGATTATGCTGCGTCCATCATTGATGAGGCTAAAGGAGATATAAATAGGGCATTGAACATCTATTATAGCAAACCCAGTGAAGTACCTGGTGAGCATGCAGGTGAGGCAGGACTCTTTAGCAAAACGATCCAGTTTCCGGAATGTCCACAAGCATGCTCCTCTCAGGAGGACGAAAAGGCGTCAGAAAAATCAGGATATAAAATTAACATATGTGTGCAGACATCAGCAGAGGAAATTGTGGACAATAATTATGTATCTCTACCTCCTGAAAAATATAAACCTAAAGAGCACGGTTGGTGTATTTATATGCCAGTCTTATAAATTTGTTACCATATCAATTTTTTCTTAAGTTTAAGAGCTAGCTTGCAGTGTTGTTTAGGAATTTTCAGAAATTTCATTTCTGTGTGTTTGGTATAATGCAGCTTGTTGGAGGGAGGGACAACCAGCTCCATATATACACCTTGTCCGAACATTTGCTTCTGTGGAAGGTGAAAAAGGCAAGATCAAAGCTATGTCTATGCTTTGCAACATGTTTAGAAGGTTGCTAACTCTCTTTGTTTCCTATAGATTAAGCTGCAGAAATGATTATTGGCACTTATATTTCTGTATATTATTATTCATCAGCTTGGTGGCTCTCTCTCCAGAAGATGTTCTGCCCGCTGTTTATCTATGCACGAATAAGATTGCCGCTGACCATGAGAACATTGTCAGTTTAAGTTTTTTTTTTCTTTTTTTTTTTCCTTCTCTTTTTATATGAATAACCTTAAGATTTTCTGATCATGTATCAGTTGTACAGGAGCTTAACATTGGTGGAAGTCTAATCTCTTCTGCATTGGAAGAAGCATGTGGAATAAATCGGTCTACTGTGAGAGATATGTATAATAGCATGGGAGATCTTGGTAAAGAAAGTTCTATGCTGGCCCAGTTAACTTCTTGTTGTTATTTTTTACTTTCCCCATGCTGAAACAGGCTTTAAATATCAAAATTCTCAGGGGATGTTGCTCAGTTATGTCGAAAAACGCAAAAGCTACTGGTTCCTCCACCTCCACTTCTAGTTAGAGATGTGTTTGCAACTCTACGAAAGATAAGGTAAAGAGCTTAACTGGTAATGCGTACAGCAAAATATTAAATGATGATATTATGTCTCTTTGAAGATGAAAGTATTCAGAGGTGCTTGTTCATCTTTCTGTTAAAATGGCTATAACGGATATATGAGTTAAAGAAATTTATACATATAACAGCATTTATATTTTCTAAATTTTATACTGATTTATTGGTGGGTTCCCTTCTTTTTACATCTATTCCCTGCATATAATAAGTAATATGGACAATGAGGATCTGCTGGATTAATTTACATGATTTATGTGGTCTCTTGAAAGTAAGTGGGACAGATCTAGATGACCTTATGTAGATTTGACTCTCTTAAGCTATCTTTAAATGCTAATTGTTATTGATTAATTTTCACTTTAACAGAACTGTTTGTGATTTCTGTTTGGTAATTTGTTTAATATTTCTTCGAACTAAAGCATAATTTCATTGTTAGTGGATCATGATAATGATCTTTGTTATCTAACTGGACATTTTTTTAACATGAAGTCATTTCTAGCAAACTCCTAACAGTTTTCCTCAGTGTGCAGACAGGTACTGGAAGTACTAGGCAAAAGAAAAATCTCATCGTGAAGCTAATGCGCTCTTGTAGAGAAAAAGAAATCAAATTTCTTGTTAGAACATTGGTAAGAATTTTTTTAAAATATTTGTTCTCCATAATATTGTTTATAACTTATGCATTATAAGCAGCAATGTCTCTGTTCAGGCCCGTAATTTAAGGATTGGCGCTATGTTGAGAACTGTTCTGCCTGCACTTGGGCGAGCAGTCGTTATGAATTCTCTCTGGAATTGCCATACCATAGAACCATCAGAAAGTTGTTTCAGAGAGAAACTCGAGGTTTGATTATTTTCTTTAGTTCAGAGAAAATCTTTTCTTGTCACTTATCAAGTCAAGTGTGTTGAAAAGGAAACTTCAAATTTCAGGGTGTTTCTGCTGCAGTAGTTGAGGCTTACAACATTCTTCCTTCTCTGGTGAGCTTTAAATGTCAACCTTAACCTTCCCAACCTCTTTTTGCTTTGCCATTTTTCATGTGAAATGTCATTAATTTAACTTGCATTAATTTTTTAAATATGATTAACAATGTTTTTTTTTTTTTTTTTTGAATGAATGTGAAAATATATTCAAAACAAAAAAAGGGTCCCTTTTTACAATGAATGCGTCCTTAAATCGAAAAGAGTTTAAATGGTTTATCGAAAAGAGATGAACAATGTTAGCGACTTGATCAAGAATTAGTGAAAGAATCAAGAATCTATTTTTTCTTAATTAATTTGTTTTCTGAAAAAACGTTGAGTTCCAGCTAGCCTTCAAACTGTTTGTTCTTTTTCCTACTCAGTATAGGAAAGTTTTTAAATAGAGACATCTGTTACAATACATTATTTTTTTCCAAACAGGACGTGGTTGTTCCTTCTCTCATGGACAAAGACATTGAATTTTCAACGTCAACTCTGTCAATGGTCCCGGGGATACCTATAAAACCCATGCTCGCAAAGTAATTGTAGAGATCCTTTGGACGTCTTTGTTTGCTAGATAATGATTAGAACTACTGATCTCATACCTTTATTACTGTTTTTCATTGCAGAATTGCTAAAGGGGTACAAGAATTTTTTAACCTCTTCCAAGACAAGGCTTTTACTTGTGAATACAAGTAAGTTTGTCTCAAGAACTTCTCTTAACCTACTAGAAACTGATAAATTCTTATTTTTAACGGAATGTATGATTCTTTCAACTCACAACCCTTGAATCTTCTTTGCATTCTGTTAGATGCCACCAAATGTTACGATAGAGTTGATATTGTTTCTATGGTCTTTGCACTCTATTGTTCTGCACTAATCTTCTGTGTTTCCTGAATCACTTTGCTATTATGACTAAATATGGCTTTCAGATATGATGGCCAGCGTGCCCAGATCCATAAGTTACGTGATGGTACTGTGCGTATCTTTTCTCGGAATGGGGATGAAACAACTTCCAGATTTCCAGATTTGGTTTATGTCATAAAACAGTTTTCTTGCCCTGTCGCTGAGACATTCATGTTGGACGCAGAGGTAGGAGAATTTTCATATTATTAACTGTATAAATCTATCTAAACCCCTCTAGGTGCAGGAATTTCAAAATCAACCAGTACTCGTTTATCATCGATTCTCTTGGTCATACGTGGTATATTGGATTTTTATGATTTTAGGTGGTTGCCACTGATAGAATGAATGGAAACAAACTCATGTCATTCCAAGAGTTATCAACAAGGGAGAGAGGGAGCAAAGATGCCTTGATAACTACTGAAAGTATTAAGGTATAGTACACAATCATACAACCTTATAAAAACTAAATGAGTATCAGCATTTATGTCAAAAATTTCAGTAGTTATCTGAGTAGATTTGTTCTATTAATTACGTTATTGTAGTGACGGTTACAAACCTGTCACCTGTTGTATCTCATGTTTTAAAATTGCTTGGATACTGGGAACGGTTTCTTATGTTTCGGACGCTAGACTCCATTTCCAATTGAATGTTAGTTTTAAGTTCCACATCGTTTTGCATGTTAGTTTTGACTAACTTTTAGTTCTCGACAAAGCCAGGCAAAATGAGTTTTTTTTTTTCCGGTATGTTTGGCGATTTCCTAAAGAAGTTTTTTCCTTTTCGTCCTATTGTGTATCCTTTTAATACAAAATTCTGACCCCATTGTCATTTTTTTAGCTTTAAATATGCTCTTCTAGATGTGTTTATTTTCTTCGAATGGCTTTCTGCAGGTTGAAGTCTGCGTCTTCGTGTTTGATATTATGTTCGTCAATGGAGAACAGTATGATTCTTTTACTCACTCTTTTTACTCCATTTATCCTAATAACCTATATGTTGAGTTGTAATGTACTTAGTCTATAATGCAGGCTGTTGGCTCTTCCCCTCCGAGAGAGACGAAGACGTAATCTCCTTTATTCTCTTTTTTCCTTATCTTGATGCATTTCTCTACCAGTTTAATATATGCCCACTCTTATCGTACTTGGTTATGTTCAAACTTTCAGGTCTAAAGGAGGTCTTCCCTGAGACTAGGCCAGGTTATCTTGAATATGCTAAGGAAATAACTGTAAGTGCTACGGTTGCTTCTCATCTAAAAGTTATAGGCTAGAACATTGTAAAGTCTTCATCTGTAACTGAGTGTTTTGGTATTTTCGTTGAACCGATCATTGTTTAATAGGTGGGAGCAAAAGAAGCGTCCTTGGATAATCAAGACACTTTGAATAAGATAAATGCTTTTCTTGAAGAAGCATTTCATTCATCTTGTGAAGGAATCATGGTCAAGTCTTTAGATGTTGATGGTGGATACTGCCCCACAAAGCGCTCTGATTCATGGCTCAAGGTCTCTTTGCTGTAAATTATATTACAAAACATAATGTGTTGGAAATGGATGAAATGGTGCTAGTTTTTTCTGGCTCAGGTTAAGCGTGATTATGTAGATGGATTGGGCGACACATTGGATTTAGTTCCTATAGGTGCTTGGCATGGCAACGGGAGAAAAGCAGGATGGTAGTAAAAACATATTTCCCAACTTTTTATTTTTACTGAAAAGAAAAAATGTTTGAATTGGCCGTGTAGCTTTGAAACTCAATCGTAATCATAAGTATACTGGTAATCTCTCAAATGCATCTTGACGAATTCTGATTTTTCTGTTTTCTGTGTGTAGGTATAGTCCATTCCTTATGGCCTGCTTCAACCCTGAGACTGATGAATTTCAGAGTGTCTGCCGTGTCATGTCTGGTTTTTCTGATACCTTTTACATCGAGGTAATGAAAAGCTTAACTACTCTTTCGCACTTCTCCATTCATCCAACCTTTGATGATAATTTTATGAATTTTAACATTTGACTAATAATGGACATCTGGTTTATGGTTTGGTAATTCTCGGTTTCAGTTTTGTTAGTTTTATAGCAGCTGAAACCAGTAGAGCCCATTTGTAATTCAGTACGGCCTGATGTGATTGGGGTTTGGTTTTTGGGGTTTTTACTTGTTTTATAAAATGATTAAAGAGATTAGTACTTACATTTTGGTTCAAATTAGGTTTGGTTTTAGTCTATACTTCGACTCCTAATTGTGGCTTGAGGACCATTCCAAGTGTGATTCTACATTTTAGTATCCAAGGATCACCAATATTTTTGCTTGTCTTGCAGATGAAAGAATTCTACTCCGGGGATAAGATCCTTGCGAAAAAGCCGCCTTACTACAGAACAGGGGAGACACCTGACATGTGGTTTTCCTCAGAGGTTGTTTGGGAAATCAGAGGTGCAGATTTCACGGTCTCGCCTGTTCACAGTGCCGCATTAGGTCTCGTCCATCCATCTCGAGGCATCTCTGTTAGGTTTCCGAGGTTTATTCGTAAAGTGACAGATAGAAATCCTGAGGAATGCAGCACTGCTGCGGATATCGCAGAGATGTTTCATGCTCAAACCAGAAAAATGAACATCACTTCTCAAAAGTAGTAACATGCTTCTAATCTTCTTTTGTTTCGTTTAGGCTTTTTCGGCTATTAAGCACTTGTCTAGGGTGTTTAACTAGGAACTCACTGTCTCACACAATAGAGTAGTTGCCGATCTTTTTGTGGTTTTTAATGGGTTTGTAGGACTTATGTGTAAATATTTCTAACCTAAAACTATGTGAATATACATGTAGCCAATATGTATATATTATGTGCATCAATGGTATTATTGATAACAAGTTAACAATATTATGGTTGTACATGCGGATTCACTGGCACGACGAGTTCGTGTTAGTCCGCACCCAGTCAAGTATGTAACCAACTGCACCTTGAATTGGCTCGATTGAGCTAATACAAGTCTATTTGATGTCAAAAAAAAAAAAAGTTAACAATATTATGGAATTAAAATCAGAGAAAATGGGTAAAAATAAAAAGATTTTGGTAAAGACCATCACTGAACAAATTATAGATAATGTTTAAACAGTTTTAAAAATTAAAAATTGTTTAAATTGTGAAAATTTAAAACATTATTCTAGAAAAAGTATACAATTGTTTACAAAAACAATTATTTTCTTATTTTTACAATTGTTAATATTTTTCTTTTCACTCTTCATTATTATTTATTGCAAATTATGAGAATTGTTACAATGACGATTTCACTACCAACAATTCTCTCCGGCTCTATTAAATTCGCCATATTACATTCATTTCCTGACGACATTTTTTTCTCCATGTGTATAATCACGGCGAAAGGGTATTGCATTGATGTAGATCTCATGTAAACTTGCCTTTTTATATTTTCTAATTCAATTATACAGATTTATTTGATTAACAAACTTTTTGTATAATCACATTAGAATATGAATATGCTTATACCTCTAAAATAACGGATATGATTGATTGATATACCGATCACAAAACAAGAAAAACTTTTATTTTTACACAACAATTCCTTAAATATTATATGTTCTGTGTTAACAAACAAAATCATACGTTTTTATTATGTTTCCATACATTAAATTTTCAATTCTCAACAATTTTCCCTCCGTTAAGTATACTCCTCCCGCCAATTCAACAAACCGGTGATAGCCGGTCACTTTTCACACGGCAACCGGTTATAAGAAGCCTTACCTTTTTTTCCCCCAAAACTGAAAACATTTCATCTCTTTCTTTCTCGAATCACTTCCTTCCTTCGTCGTCTCTCTCACCACTCGTCGATAAACCAAAAACTCTCTTTAACTCTTTTTGAGCTCCGTCGTTAATTTCGAAAACCCTAGTTCTTCCTTACTTCGAATCTGGTAAAAAAAAGACGAAACTTTTGTTATTATCTGGGTTCTCTCTCTCTCTCTCCCGAGTTTTAGATGAAGTTGATTTGATTGGGAAAAAAAATCTAGGGTTTGATTTATCATAATGAGTGCTATCAACATCACCAACGTCGCCGTCTTGGATAATCCTGCTCCTTTCGTTAGCCCTTTTCAGTTCGAGATCTCTTACGAGTGTTTGAATTCTCTTAAAGACGGTAAATTTTCTTCTTTTCCCCTGAATCGAAAAGTTTCAGCCTTTTTTTATTTGATTTGAAATTTAGGGTTTTAGTAGTCTCTGCTGATTTGATTCTTACTGATTTGTATTACCCAATTGCTCAATCATAAGAAAGCATCTGACTTTAGTTTACTTTTGGCGTTAGGTGTTAATGTTGATACATGATTTGGGATTTTTTAGGGTACTCGAATACTGTTGTCTAGTATTTGGATTGGTCTTTTACATAAGTTCTTGTTTTAGTTAGTGTTTGTGTATGATTGTTTGCTGTATGTGTAAGCTATGATAAGATACTTATACTTTATACACTAGGTTTTTTTAGTACTTATGGTTCTTGGAGTTGTCTGGAAAACACCGGATTCATGTAAAGTCTTGATGGTCATGAACATATATTGTAAGTAAGATTTAAATTGTTTCAACTTAGGCCTCAGCTTTGCTTTTGGTACAGATTTGGAATGGAAACTTATCTATGTAGGCTCAGCAGAAGATGAGACTTATGATCAACTTCTAGAGAGTGTGCTTGTAGGGCCTGTTAATGTTGGCAACTACCGGTTTGTATTGCAGGTAACATAGGAGGTTTTGTTTTAAGTCCGCTCCCTTGTTACAGTTGTGGCATAGCAAGTGAGTTTTGGTCTAACTCTATATTACTGTGGTTTACAGGCTGATCCTCCGGATCCATCAAAGATTCGTGAGGAAGACATCATTGGTGTCACTGTACTATTGTTGACATGTTCTTACATGGGTCAAGAATTCATGAGAGTTGGATATTATGTGAACAATGACTACGAGGATGAGCAACTGAGGGAAGAGCCTCCAACTAAGGTTTTGATCGATAAAGTCCAGAGGAACATACTCTCCGATAAGCCTAGAGTAACTAAATTCCCTATAAATTTCCATCCAGATGATGAGCAGACTGCTGCCGCCACTGCTGCTCCTCCTCCTGAACAGTCTAATGAACAACAACCTGATGTCAATGGTGAAGCTCAGGTTTTGCCTGCTCAGCCACCAATACCAGAACCCCAAGAATCATGATTCTTCCTTAAACCAAGTCTGGATGAGAACTGTAATCTCCGTATTCTCTAAAAGATGTTGCATTTTGCTTTTCTCTACCTTAAAGCATTATCTGCAATCTGTTATACTTGTTTCTAGATGCTCTAGGGAAAGTGATTCTTGACATATTCGAATGGTTTTGTTTTTTCGGCAAAGCATTAATCAAAGCAAAGCCAACAATTTCCAAACAATATAATGTTCCAAAGATCATAGAATTTTCCAACCATCACATATTTGGGCTACTAGAATTTTCCGAACCATCCAACGTTATATTTGAAATGGACTGACCTATCCCTACTATAGTAAAAGAGAAGTACATAAGGGATTCGGGTCGGGTTTTTCAAAAAATTCCGGGTTAAATTTTCAATCGGATACTTGCCAAATTTTTTGTTAAATATTTTTCAAATATTTCAATAATATACACCAGATTCCTATCATTTAGGAAACTATATTAATGCTAAATAAAAAATATGTCTTATAAGGAAATTTTGTTTATGAATATAAAGATCTCAATCTTTTAAAAATATTCTAATTATTATATTAATTTCTTATATGAAAAAACAAAAAAAAATTATAATTTTTTATAAGTTTAAATATTTGATATATAGAAAAATATAATTTAAAAATATTTGGTATAACAAATATAAAAATGCATCTAAAATACATAAAAATGGTAATATAATTAATAAAAATGTTAATTAGTTTGAATTAGTTAAATGTTTCGAAAAATAAAATTTGAATATATATGGCTATAAAAACGAAAGATTTTATTAAAGATTTTATAAAAAATGAAAGATTTTATATATATTAAATCTTTATTATTATTTTTTATATTTCCTAATATGTTAAATGAAAGATTTTAATCAGAATAAAAAAATAGTATATGAAAAGAGGTTTCAAAATTATTCCAATCTTTATCAATTTGAATTACTTATAAAAAAAAAAGAATAATATTTTATCAATAGCATAACTAATGCAAAATTATAGAGATCCATATATATCTAGAAATGGTTATATTTGAATTTTGAAAAAAAAAAAGAAATTTGACAATCATTAGTATATTTCAATGAGTAATACGAAATATTTTGGATACAAAAAAAAATAATTAAAATTTTAGGATAATTATTATAATTAACTAAAAATACTTTAATGACAGTATTTTATCTTTGTAATTATTAATCATCGAATCAATACTAATACAAAATCAGTCATAAAGAATATATTCCATAAGTTAGTTTAAATAAATTACCTTAAATTCTGAATTTTCCTTAAAATGTTCTAAATATTTTAATATGTGAATCACAAGAATATTCTCTTATTCAATATGAAGTATATTAATATTTTTATTTTATTTTTATAGGATACAAGTATATACAAATCTTTCAAACTCATATGTTCTTGTGTGATACATGTATATACATGATTTTCATAATTTTTCAATATCATATATTTTCATGATTTTTTTAAAAATACACGGGTTTTTGCTGATTGGTTCGTCACCACATACATTGTGAGTATACAATTTTTTTAATAAACGTTCTTTTATTTAGTTTATCAAAATATTATATTTAATTTCCGAAAACACACTTTTCTCAAAGAATTGAAACCAAATATACATTTCGAAATAATAATTGTTGATACTAAAATGAACGAAATAATAACACATACGACAAAACACGTTAAAATAAAATAAACCTGAAAATATTATTTAGCGGTAGCTATAGCGCGGATCTGGACCTAGCATACATGACAAAGTACACATCCACGATAGTACATATTCTCATACTTGCCAAATTCAACACCAACAATCCATTTTAACAGTTAAAAGTTTACGTAATTCGGAAAAAAATAAAAACCGACACTTTTCCCCCGCGCTGTAACGCGGGTCCGGGCCTAGTATATTAGTATATAACATGCTCCAATCGAATCTCATTCCATAACAAAAAGTAGTTTGGGACGAAAAAACCATACCGAAATTAGAGGAACCGAAATTGATTAAAAACCGAATGGATCTTATACTTAAGATCTGAAAGTATCCAAAACCAAATCATACCAAACCGAAACTGTACTGAATATCCTAACGCCCAGGATTATCAAAAGGGTGAATTAAATTTTTATACTCAGTTGACTGAAAAATTAAGAATATAGTATTGATAAGTGTATAATTAGTTCTCTCTCATCAACTTGTATAAGTAGACAAAAATATCCTTTCGCATCTAACAAATTATTTAGCGAGATAATGATATAAGTATCGACAATACTGTTTACCAAATGCATAAGTAAAATCATGTTATAAGTTAGATGAATAACTATTGAATTACCATGATAACAATATATATATACGTATAAGTTTATAAATATATCGTGTTAAATTGTTTTGTATCGCGATAATTTATTATTTATGTGATAAGTTTATATTTACCGTGTTAAACCTAAACCCTAACCACTATTTTATCAACCCAAACCGATATATAATTTCGTTTTAATTGTAAAATCTAAACCCTAATCACTATTTTATCAACCCAAACCGATATATTATTTCCTTTTAATTGTAAAATCTAAACCCTAACCACTCCTTTATAAACCCAAACCGACATATAATTTTGTTTTAATTGTAAAATCTAAACTTTAACCACTATTTTATCAATCCAAACTGATATATAATTTCGTTTTAATTGTAAAATCTAAACCCTAAGCCCTATTTATAAACCCAACGATATATAGTTTTGCTTTAATTATAAAATCTAAACATCAAAAATATATTTAACCTTGTTTATTAAAGGTATACATATTTTGTTTCCTTATTAAAGATAATTTATTTTTTTAAATAATATACTATTTTTTTAATGTATAATTATATTAATCGCGCTAACTCAGTTATCAGCTAATTTATGATTATAGGGTTAAAATTGTCCAGAAAAAACAAAACTAATTATGGAATTATCTTTAACATATAATGAATAAAATTTTTATCTAGGTACATACAATGCAATTTCCCTTATCAAAAAGCTAAGACTTTGAAATTTGAAAGCTTTGATATACAACAAGAGGGTTGTTTCTGATAATTCAGAAATATGAGGTTCGTTTTACAAAATATTAAAAAGTAAGGGCAAAATTAAGACCCAAAAGAATCTTACTAATTCTTTAAAGTGCTTCATTAGCCCTCGTCTTCGTCGAAGTGGAGCTTCAAACACTAAAACCCAATGTCAAAATCCGGCGGAAATAATCAACCAGTAGATCGGTACCTTCGCCGTCAAGTACTCGGAGAAGGAACATACGGTGTCGTTTACAAAGCAACAGACACAAAGGTAAAAAAACCCAAAAACCCACTTCTCCAATTTCAATTTCAATCAAAAGATTCAAACTTTTTAAATCTTCGATTTTTTTGTTTTGTTTCGTTAGACTGGGAAAACTGTAGCAGTGAAGAAGATTAGGTTAGGAAACGAAAAGGAAGGAATAAATTTCACAGCTTTGAGAGAGATTAAGTTATTAAAAGAGCTGAATCATCCACACATCGTTGAGCTCATTGATGCCTTCCCTCACAATGGAAGCTTACATCTTGTTTTTGAGTATATGCAAACGGATTTGGAAGCTGTGATTCGTGACCGTAACATCTTTTTGTCTCCTGGTGATATCAAGTCTTACATGTTGATGACTTTGAAGGGCTTAGCTTATTGTCATAAGAAATGGGTTCTTCACAGGTTAGTAAAGGATGAATCTTTTCGTATGTTATGTTCTTTTAAAGGTTGTGTTTTGATAATGTGATGGTTTTGTTGTTTTTTGTGTTTGTTAAGGGATATGAAGCCTAATAATCTGTTGATTGGAGATAATGGTTTGTTGAAGTTGGGTGATTTTGGTTTGGCTAGGGTGTTTGGGAGTCCGAATCGGAGGTTTACTCATCAGGTATTGTTTGATACTCTCTCGGTTGGATTTGCAGCTAGATTAGTCTAGTTCTTGATGATTTTATCGGATGCTTCGTCTTGTGACAAACTGAGAGTAGATGTAAAGGTTGGTGGTTACAAGTTGACAGATACCATTTTGTTGCTGAAGGTTGAATTAACATTATAACTCTAGAAGATTCTGAAATTGATTGGTTGTGTAGAAATTTTGTTTGCTGAAAATGAAAATATGTATTCGGTGCTTTGAGAAGACATCCTATGTTTTTATTCTGATTCTTGCATACTTATATTTTTGGTATAATAAAAGATTGGTTGTTCAAAGTCACCAAATACCAAACTCTTGCTTACAGTCTTATCGACATTATTTACTCTAGAGGATGATGAAATCGATTGGTTCTGTAGATATTCTTTTTGGTTAGATATGCATGTGGAAGAGTCCTTAAGCTTGATTCAGAATCAGATCGAAAGTATCTCCTTTAGTTAGAATATGCTTGTGGAAGAGTCTTAAAGCTTGTTTGATTCAAAGCTAAGATGCTTATACACACAGGTATTTGCTACATGGTACAGAGCGCCTGAGTTACTATTTGGGAGTCGACAGTACGGAGCTGGAGTTGATGTTTGGGCTGCAGGCTGTATCTTTGCTGAGCTATTACTTCGTAGACCATTTCTACCAGTAATGTCTATACATTTTTATACTTTGTGTTTCAAAATGATCTCTGTTTCTTATAACATGTTTCTATACTTCAGGATTGTCTTTATATTCACAGTTATCACATTTGATATAAGTAAAGCTTTGCTTTTTTCAGGGTTCTACTGAGATTGATCAACTCGGAAAGATCTTTCAAGCCTTTGGAACTCCAGTACCTTCCCAATGGCCTGATATGATGTATCTCCCAGACTACATGGAGTTCACTTATGCACCTGCTCCACCACTACGTACCATATTCCCTATGGCAAGCGATGATGCTTTGGATCTTCTAGCAAAAATGTTCGTCTACGACCCTCGTCAAAGGATCACGATACAACAAGCTTTGGATCACAGGTTAAGTCTATCAAAAGAAACTCACAAGAAACAAAAATCCGTTTCACCTCTGATAATCATTTTTGGTTTTTTCCATCAGGTACTTCTCGTCTTCTCCATCACCAACCGAGCCAGGGAAGCTTCAGATTCCAGCTTCAAAAGGAGACGCCCTTGAACCAAAGTCCTCTGACCAAAACCAACAAGGAAGTAGCCCGGCCGTACTGTCACCTCCTGGAAAAATGAGGAGAGTAATGGGTCCTGAAGGATACAC